ATGATTGTTGTTATTTTTTCTTTCCTTCTCTCTCTTTCTCTTCTTCTTCCCTCTCTCTCTCATCTATATCCCAAAGTGTTCAGATAGCCTTCCAGCAGTATTCAGCAGCTGCACATGAGCCTAAGGACACCATGTCCAATGCCAAGTGTGGGCTAGAGGGGTATAAAGCCCCCCAGCATTGGCTGTGGATCAGTGGAACTGTGTTCTCTGGAGTGATGGAGCTCCATCTGATACCTCTGGGATGAGTTGGAGATCCCGAACTGATCATCCAACATCGGTAGCTGACCTCACTAATGCTCAATCAAATCCTCACAGCAATGTTCCAACATCTGTTACTCTTACTGTTGCTGCAGCAGAGGGGGAACAAACTCCCTATTAACACTCTTGATTTCAGAGCAGTGAGTGTGTAAACTTCGGTTACTGTCACAGTCGGCTGGAGCCGCAAACACGTTCACATGCAAACACGACGCAATCCGTTAGATAAGCTCCGGTCAGATTCCTGTGTGTGGGAGTGACCTTCAGGACGAAGCAGGTCGTCTCCCGCAGACAGGAATTGTGACCAAGAGCGCTACAGTCAGCAGGCTGCACAATTTATCTCACATTAAAATCACAATCTCGATTCATTCATCCGCACAGTCACTTCAGATAAGAGAGAGAGACGCTAAGCAACGATTGGAGGGCAAGCAAAGAAGGTGGGGCTTGTGATCAGTCTGTAGGGTGAGAAAAGAAGGCGGGGCTTAAGGTGATCAAACTGAGAGAGAAGGTGGATAGAGAGATGGAGCAGGAGAGAGAAATGGAGAGAGAGAGAGAAAAGAGATAGAGGGAGGTAGACAGGGAGTGAGAGAGAGAGAGAAATAAGAGAGAGCGAGTGATAGACAGAGAGAAAGGGGAAAGGGAGAGTAGTGGAGAGAGAGAGAGAGGAGAGGAGAGAGAGGGAGAGAGAGAGGGCAAGAGAGACAGAGAGAGAAACGGGGAAAGGGAGAGTAGTAGAGAGGGGGAGAGAAAGAAAGAGAGTGAGAGAAAAGAGAGAAGGTGAGAGAGAGAGAGAGAGAGAGAAAGAAGAGAGAGAAAGGCCAGGAGAGAGACAGAGAGAGAGAGAGTAGAAGAGAGAGAGAGGGGGAGAAAGAGAGTAAGAGAGAAAGGGAGAGTGAAAGTGGGAGAGAGAGAAAAAAGAGAGAGACAAAGAGAAAGAGAGAGTGGGGAGAGCGAGAGAGAGAGAGAAGGAGGTAAAGAGGAAAAGAGTGTCAGCAGGTCCTGAAACAGAAATGCTCTCCACGCTTCATTACAGACCAAAATAAAAGAAGGAAGAGCTGCTATTCTTGACTCTGGCACACGGTATGTGCGAGTGTGTATGTGTGTGTGTGTGTGTGTGTGTGTGTGTGTGTGTGTGTGTGTGTGTGTTTAGGAGCTGTTTTAGTCATTCGTGGGAAATTTCCAGGCCAGCCCACACTGCATCAACACCATTCTACTGTATGTCAGCGCCGCGTCAAACCGAAACAGCCTACCAGTTTCAGAGTGACTGTTCCTCACAGCCGAACACACAATACACCTGCACCTGCCTCACAGACCCTCAATCACTGCTCTCCAGAACCTTCCCTCCTTTAACGTTCTGCTTTGTCTCCTCTTATAATCATACTCTTTTCTGCACACTCGCACTGTGGCAGGAAAGAGCAGCAGTCTGATTTACAGTCAGACGTTTTAGGGATGCACGACGACAGCAGATACAATTGCTTAAAAAAAAAAAAAGCAGCACTGGACAGACTTTTAGATTTGACGGATATTTCAAACCAGCATTGGATGACTTCTGATGAATTGTGATGTGTTAATAGAGGCTAATGAATGATGAAAAAGAAACTGACAATAGTAACAAACATTTTACTGGGGCTGCAAGCACAGGTAACACCAAAAATGAAAGTGAAAATGATATTGAGATTAAAAAACAGCATCAATCAATAGAAAATACGATGCCAGCACATCCATGCAGCAGAAAAAAACAGGAGCGAAGGATCTACTGTAGACAAATCACCAAAACCGGCACATTTACAGCCAATTCCTCCTGATTCTTCTTCCCTATGCATGCGAACCCTCCTGTTTTAAAGGGGAAGTCCTCCAATTTTTCTAAATTTCTGCATAAATATGTTAAGATGTTGGTTGGTTAAGATATAAACAAAGTTATTCAGAGTGGTTAGACATGAAAAGAGTCACAACAGTGGTGATAGGAACCAGACAACTGAGGAGATGAATGTCTCACAAAAAGTTGCTACACAAAATGGTTCCAAAATGCGGCCTGATGTCCGAAACATTGTTTTATGGTAGTTTCAAGATAAGCTTTTGGTCTAAAACATAAAAGAAAAAAAAAGAAAAAAAAAAAGAAAATGCGTTGTTTCTGATTTACCATCATCAACATGACATATAAATACTCAGAAGATGTGTGTAGGTTCACTGGTGAGTTTGGACAGTACATAAAATGAGTATATCTGCATTGTCGTCAGAATGACCTCTGGCTCCTATTGCTATGACTGATTTCAGTGCTTTCATTTCACGTCACACCACTCTGAATGACATCTCAGTGGCTGAACTATGCAGAATTTTTTAAAAATTGGTGGAGCTCCCCTTTAACTGATTACCTTGTTTTTTGCCACTACTTTTTCGCCATAAAAACAGCATTTACGAAATAGGGGGTTTAGTGGGGCATGATGATTGGCTGGTGGGCCGGCATAGGCTATTGTTGTGGCATCATATCCTTCCCACCACCCACCCTCCTCGGACCCCCACCGGTCCATGAAAACCACTGTGGGCTGCGCATCAGCTCTTGCAATGTTAAAAAGGTTGAGCCCCCTTTGGATACACGACAGAGAGAGAAACCCAAACACCTCGCTCTCCCCTACTGTATATATGAATGTAAAAAAATCAATAATGTGCCGTTTCGCATAAGAGTTTCACTTTCTCTCCCTCTCACACACACACACACACACACACACACACACACACACACAAACACACACACACACACACACACACACACACACCACATATATATGACAGTGTTGTATTGTGTTGGTGTGTTTTGCATTTTATGGCAGTGGGAGAGGAACACGGTGTCTTTGGAAAGTCCTCTGCTTCAGAATGAAGCCTCATTCTAATCCCAGATAAAGAGTAGATATGAGAGAGAGATATAGAGAGAGAGAGAGAGAGAGAGAGGCTTCCACTCGGCCTTATCTCAACCATTATCTAGCACACACACACACACACACACACACACACACACACACATGTTGTGGCCATAGCACGTATACTTTCACAAGCCCAAACCCAGATAACCTCCACACACCAAACGCTTCACATCCAGACCACCCCCTCCGGCCCACCCAAACGCTGCCCCCTCATCGATCACTTTCCAATCAAGTGCTGCTTCTGCTTTGGCAATCAGTCAACAAGCCTCAGTGACAGACAGACAGGTGTGATAAAAGCAGGTGCTACACCACAGCGCTAACACGCTGATAGAGGACACCCTGCTGGACCAGCCCAGCACACACACACACACACACACACACAGAGCGCGGTGTAAACACTAGGGGTGTAGATCTCTAATCTGACAACGGCTCCATTTGATTGAAAATCTCAAATTGATTCTGATTATTTCAGAAGCAACAGACTCAAAACCTGCCTGGAGGAACTGCTTACTACAGAAGTACAAAAAGGCCATAAGGTAGTTATAATTCTCTGGATTGTTATCTTGAGATAACGACTTAATTATCTCAAGATAACAAAAGTTGTTATCCTGAGATAACAAGTTTATTATCTTGTGATCTCAAAATGACAAAGTGAATTATCTCGTTATCTCAAGACAAGAAATATGTTATCTTGAAATAATGAGTTAGTTGTCTGGTTATCTTGAGATAACCAAGTTGTTATCTCGAGATAAGTTAATTATCTTGTTATGTCAAGACAAAGTTGTTATCTTGAAATACAGGTTAGTTATCTTGTTATCTCGAGGTAACAAAAGTTGTTATTTTAAGATAATGAGTTAATCATCTTATCTCAAGAAAATGAAGTTGTTATCTTGCAATAATGAGTTAGTTATCTTGTTATTTTGAGATAACAAAAGTTGTTATCTTGAGATCACAAGATAATTAACTCGTTATCTCAAGATAACAATCCAGAAATATTACAGCAGCAGCTCATGGCCTCTCTGGTCTTGCGTAATGTACAGAGTGGACGATAAAAACAATACACTGAGAGTCAGGTTTAGGCACACAGTCTGCCTACAGTTTGTGTTGGTGGGGGTGTTTCAGTTTAGAGTGACAAATATTGACTCACTAGGTGAAAATAATAACTTATTTTCTCAAGATTTAGACTTAATGAGTATATAAGTAAATATTTCAAGGCAAGTAATTATTTAAAAAAAGGAATTACATCTGATTTTAGAGCATAGTGCATCAAAGTGCATCAAAGCCTGTGACATTTCTGCAGTAGCGCTCATGAAGTAACAGGTAGTTTTAGTAATTTAGCAATTAGGCTTTAAAAATGGTCAAAATCTGCTCTTAGGATATTCGCTGAATATAAAATATTCTCACAGTATTAGAAAACAGCACTTAGTTTTACTAAAATTATTTGGTTTTAGGCTTTTATTTCCCATTCAGCAATGATATGCAATGAGGCAAAGTGCTAAAGAGCAGCACTGATCTTATTATAACTGATAAATGGCTGTTGTGCCTATTCAGTAAATCAGAAATAGGGTTTATGACAGCACAAAACTTTATTAAAAAGGCCTGTAATATTTGTAACAGATTTTTTTATATTAGAAAATTGCCTAAGATTTTTCTTCTGGCAAAAAACTTCTAAGCGATTACAGCCTTCAGTAGAACTGTGACCTTCAGACTGAACATTTCACACCCCTAGTAAACACTAGTGCCAGTGAGTATGTGCGTGCATGCATCTCAGTGGCAAAGATGAATATGCCCAGCAGTATCAGCAGTAAGAAAGGAGGATCCTCTTACCTCTGTGTCTGTTAGTAGTCTTATCGAACATTAGCATAGCGTCTTCTACCTGCAAGACACACGAAGAGAGGTGTAGGTTAGCGATCAGCAACAGTACAGGTGCAGGGTGTGTAATATAAGCAATATATTATAACCAGTATAACACCAACACAAGGGCTGGACAATATGGACAAAGGACTACTTTCAATTACCCTGTTACTAGGTCTGACAAACAAACATGATTTTTTATCACAATCTTTTCAATAGTTAATCGTGATTAATCACATCAGCTACAATACAAGTTCAAAGTGCATAATACAAGCAATAGTTTGTAACCATAAAACATTAACGCTAGAGCTGGACGATATGCACAAAATGCTACATTGCGATTATATTGCTACTAGGCCTGTCAGTCACAATTAATCGGATTCTTTGACGTAGTTAATCGTGATAAATCGCATCAGCTACAGTACTGGTGCGACATACTTTACATGAGCAATATACTATAACCATAAAACATCAACACTAGGGCTGGACAATATGGACAAAATACTATTATAGTGCTACTAGGCCTGACAAAACAAATGAGGTTAACAATCACATTCTTTTGAGTAGTTAATCGTGATTAATCGCATCAGCTACAATACAGATGCAAGACAATACATAAGCAATATATTATAACCATATAACAACACTAGGTCTGGACAACATGGACAAAATGCTATATTATGATTATATTACTACTAGGCCTGTCAAACAATTATAATTAAACAGATTATTTTGTGTAATTAATCATGAATAATTGCATCAGCTACAGGGCAGGAGCAACATGCTTAAAATGGGCAATCTATTATAACCATAAAACATCGACACTAGAGCTGGACGATAATAATACAATACTATATTAGGATTAAACTGCTAGTAGGACCTGTCAAACAATCACAATTAATCGGATTCTTTTGTGTAGTTAATCATGATTAATCGCATCAGCTACTAAAATACTATATATAGCATTATATTGCTACACAGTCACAAATACTTATAACATGTATAACATTAACACTAGGCCTAGATGATAGTAACAAAATACAATATTAGGATTATATTGCTACTAGGCCTGTCAAACAATCACAATTAATGGGATTCTTTTGTGTAGTTAATCATGATTAATTGCATGAGCTACAGTGCAGATGCAAGATGCTTAATATGAGCAATATATTATGACATGTATAACATCAACACTAGGCCTGGACGATAATAAAATAGTATATCTCGGCCTACTAGGCCTGTCAAACTATTGCAATTAATCACTTTGTTGTGCAGTTAATCGTGATTAATCACATTCGTCTCATAGCTATATTGGTGTTCTTTTTTTTCATGTATGCAACAGTTGTTTTGACTGGAAGTGTAATAAATTAAACAGTGGTCTCCGAGTGTAACTGAATAGCGCACACAGATTACAGTCTACAGGCCTGCCAATACCCAGCCAACCTCCACTGTCTACATCAAAACCCCAACAAAACCCCAACATCTATCAACAGCAACTCACACTGACTCACAGAACGAGAGAGAAAACAGAAGACAAAATCTCAGAGGGGGTTTGGAGGCAAAGCTCCTCGGTGTCTCTCACCCCGGTTACCGTCGCTAGGTAACATCAGGAGTGGGCAGGGTGCGGAGGTGTGTGTGGCGGACTGAGGACGGCGGGTACACCCACACACGCCTACATACATACACACAAACAAGCACAGGCTCTCGCTCTCTGGAGTCACGGCCTGGCTGCATCGCAGTGGTTTGTTTGGATTAGAGAGCCAGTCTAACACACAGAGCCACCATCCTGCCCAGTGGAGCCGAATCAAACTGACCACCAACTCACCATGCATGAGCGAGAGTGTATTTGTGTGTTTGTTTATGTCCATTTTCAGGCCTGTGCCCTGACTTTGACAGCCAGAGAAAAATAAGGTAAACTTCTTATGAATTGTTAATTATATATTTCTGAAAATGCAAATGCTCCATGTTTCATCATTTAAAACTGGTTAAAACTGATTAATGTTAGGTTTTGGGTTACACAATTCTACATATTGACACTATACACGAAGAGTTTCATTCCAAAATGCTGAATATCTGTCACAATATTGGATATAACAGACTTCTGAAAAGGATAACAGCTGATGTATAATGGAAAGCGAAACAGCACTAATATTTCTTGTTTTGTGTATGTAAAGCCCACTCCCATCAATGTTCATATAGTAAATTTAAAAAAAATAATAATGTGTCTATAATGGGTTTGGAGCAAATTCCTTCAAATATAAAATACATATAGAACATAAATAACATATGAACTATAAAATGTGGTGTAACTTTTACAGAGGCCACATTTTATGTATTATTTTTTTCAGCAATGTGTTCATTCACCAAATAAACAGTTAAAAATTCAGCAAATAAACAGTAATTGTGCATTTAAACAGGCAGAAAATCTGTAAAGGATATGATAACTTATTGTCATATAGAAAATAAACAAAACATGTAATTTTACCAGGGGCACCCAAACTTTTCCATACAACTGCATATTATATATATATATATACATACATATATATATATATATATATATATATATATATATATATATATATATATAAATAATGTGTGTATATACACAAACACACACCTTTATGCACACACACACACACACACACATATATATATATATATATACATATATATATATATACATATATATATATATATATACATATATATATATATATATATATATATATATATTATCAATATATGTAGATACTTATACAATGTAATTAGTACATGTTGTTACCTAACTATATTTAATACATATTGAACATATTGGTATTACATATAGTTACTCACACATATGCATAATATGGTATATAACCCCATGTCCTGACACTGCACAAAAACAAACCTGCGTGTGTGTATCTGAGTGTATATGGGTTCTCACTGTATTATTAGCGCAGTATTACGGCATTAGCCTGCTATCGATCCTGAGTGGGTTTAATGCCAGGCTGGTGAGATCATGCCGCTCGAGAGGAAGTAGCAGAGTGTTTTCTAACCTCAGAGACTTGGTGAATCAGTCTGATAATAAAGCCCTGAAGCTGCTTTTCAGGACGGAGCAGCCGCACCAACCACTGCTCTATTGAAGGACAGGTCATGATTCACTGAGCACTTGGAGATGGAGTCCATTCGGCCATTGTGTATACATCTATACACATACACACACACACACAAATGATAGCGGTACAGTGGCGGGAGAACTCCTGGTGCGTGACCACTGAGCGAGTGTCACAGTCCAGTGAAACACACACACACACACACAAACACCCAGACCCACACTCTTCTCCTTTATAGAGACACCTCAGTACTGCAGGCCTTTTCAATACAGCCTCTCACAAACCGCTCTCCCATCTGATAGGAGGTTAAGGACCTCTTCACCACACACACACACTCTCACACACACACTCCTGCCAAGAGGTGAGGCCGCGCTCACTCAAGGGAAGCCGAAATCTCTCTCCCTCGCCCGCTTCTTTCTCCTCCTATTCTGAAAAGAAAGGTTCAAAGGATAATGGAGGTTTTATCAGTATGTAAAAAGAGAGCGATGGAGACTCCAGTGGAGTGGCTGGCCTTTTGTGACAATGAAGAAAAGGTTCCTCGAGCCTCCTCTCGCCCAGACAGGACAGAATCTGCGCTCTTTGGAGAAAGAGAAAAAGAGCACCTTCCTCACAGGTGTTCTCCTATACAGCCAGGCCTGCTCATTTAAGGCCAACTGATCTTCATTTGCCCACTAACACACAGCAGGGAGGTGCGGAAGGTAGCTAGGCTAATCGCTCATTTAGATGCTGCCCCCATGAAGTGTTACTACCACAACCTCAGATGTTCAAGAAGACGTTTAGTCCTCTAGGATATTGCACAGCTAACCCCTTACAATCCGAAAGACGCAGAACGTTAGCGGAGTTTAGCTAACCCCATACATTCAGGGATTAAGAGGGTTTTAGTAGAGTTTAGCTCCATTCACTCAGAAAGCTAGAGGACAGTGGTAGAGTTTAGCTAACCATATACAATCAAAAAGCTGGAGGATGCTAGCAGAGTTTAGCTAACCCCATACATTTAAGAAGCTAGAAGACACAGCTAGGTGTCCTCAAGAATGTTAGATAACATAACCCCATACAAGCAGAAAGCTAGAGGATGTTAGCAGAGTTGAGCTAACCGTATACAAGCAGAAAGCTAGAGGATGTTAGCAGAGTTGAGCTAACTGTATACAAGCAGAAAGCTGGAGGATGTTAGCAGAGTTGAGCTAACCATATACAAGCAGAAAGCTGGAGGATATTAGCCAAGTTTGGCTAACCCCATACAATCAGGACGCTAGATGATTACAGTAGAGTTTAACTAATCCTATTTAAGAATCTAGAGGACATTAGCTAGATTAAATGAATGTTAGAATGTTAAATGCTAACCCCATACATTCAAGAAGCTAGAATACATAGCTAGTCCTCAAGGATGTTAGATATGCTAACCCCATACAATCGGAAAGCTGGAAAATATTAGTAGAGTTTAGCTAACCAAACAGAATCAGAAAGCTGGAAGATGTTAGCAGAATTGTGCTAACTGTATGCAATCAGAAAAATGTTTAGCTAGCCTCATACAATCAGAAAACAATTATATTAATGATAGCAGTTTAGCTAACCCCATACATTTAAGAAGCTAGAGGTAGCTCAATGGTCTTTGGAATGTTCTATGTTTAGCCAACCCCATACAATCAAGAAACTAGAGGACATCAGCGGTGTTTAGATGACCTTATACAATCAGGGAGCAAGAGGATATTAATAGAGTTTAGCTAACCCCATACAATCAAGAAGACAGAGGATGTTATTAGCATTTAGCTAACCCCGTACAATCAAGAAGCTAAAGGACATTAGCTCAGCACGTCTTGCGCTAGTGTACTGTTTTACTGCTAATCTATTATGCACTGCTAACCTGAGGACAGTACTGAGGAAAATCCATGCTAGAGCTGGTACAGACAGGTAAAAAGGGCAAAAT